CTCATTTCAGCTAAAACAATGTTTGTTTTTTAATTATGAAATAATTAGATGCTATCATCATATTTTAAATTGGTAAGATACAAGAAGAGGTTGCAAAGAATGTGTTTGACATATTAAACCTGTTTATTTCACTTCATGAGAGTCACAATCAGCGATTTTTCACACACTCACTCACTCACTCACTCAGTGATCAGCAAATCGCTGATTCTATGAGTCACAATCAAAAGCAAAATTTACAGGTTTTTTGTTTCAAACGCATACTTAGTAACCTCTTCTTGTAAGTTACAAGTAAAACATGTCATCATACCATCTTTTGGTTTTATTATTCCGAAAAACATTATTTTAGCTGAAATGAGTATTTGCAACCTTGGCCTCAACTCATTTTCGCTTCGGACGGCGTGGTGAACAGACAGCAGAAGTAGCAATAGCAGCAGTAGGAAGGTGGTGGCAGGTTAAGTAGTCCACTCTTCTACATAACAAGCAACAATGACTGGTCGTGGCAAAGGAGAAAAAGGTCTTGGTAAAGAAAGGCGCTAATCGTCATCGAAAGGTTCTTCGTGATAACCGCCAACCATCGCACAGTGGGAAAAAATCGACATAAAAGGAGCAAAATTCATTATCTCTGATCAGCGCTGATTTAACCTTTGCAAATATAATCATTCTTATGGGAAAAATTCTCAGGAATCCGGTGGGAATAGATTCGTCCTGTGCAGAATAGAGCAAGTTGGGGTTTTTGGAGCATTTTACTCAAATTTTTTTAAATTTTGTAAAAATGACTTAAAAATACCTCATTGTGGTTAATATACATTCTTGTACAAAAACATCTGGAAAATCCATTAAAAATGGTTTTAAACATCACCAGTCTGTGCAGACTATGCATTTTAGTCAATTTTACCCCTATTACCTTATTTTAGATATTTTTAAAAGACAGTAGTCAGTGATAAGAAAAGCTGTCCAATGATAGCCCTTCTTGAAGGAAAACACCTTAGGGATCAAAAAATTACGTTTTAGATTACATCGAAATGTAAGCTGATGTATGGATCCATTTTTCACGCATGTTATATCGAATACTCGTTTATTATATCATTGTAAATATGTTTAAAGCATCAAAAAATGCTTGTCTCATCTTGCGCAATATTTAGATAATTAAACAGTTTGCCCGATTCTCCCCTTTTATTGAAGAAAAATGTACAATTATACGATTATACAACACATTCATATTAAACCCTCAAGCACTGTCCTGCTGAAAACATCTAATGGTGATAATCCCATCTTAAGTGAACCTCACATACCGTAGAAATATCATTCAATAACTTTATGTATCACATAAAATTAATTATTTCATAAATTGCACAATCCGTGTTTCGTGTGTAAGGAAACAAACAACAATCAATCAACTTTCCAAATATCAGCTTCTTTCCAATTCAGTTCCGTTTCAACTGATTCTAGTGGGTAATTCCTTACAGAGTATGTTCCTTACCGCTTATCTTTTTATCTATATCCCTCCAAACGATCATTTCTATGAACCAGTAAATAGAAAATACAAAGATCAGTGGTGATAAAAATCATTTATTCTACACTCAAAATAGCTGAAAATGAAGACAACCTTAACCAACTACTTGCATGAATCTGAATTTTGACATAACAGCTTTCTTTATCAAAGCAACTTCAGAGTATCGTAGTCAACATTTGTTTTTCTTCATTCATGGCTGGATGTTCATTATCGCCTCCATTGATGTCAATATTATTATTCGTCTTCATCTTGGCGGGGATGATTTTGAGGATCAAATGCATAATGATTATTTTAAACAAATATTGCGCTGAAGAACGTGTCATGCAAGTTTTTACACACAAACCGATGGCAAATTATTGTCTCATGCTGAATTGATGATAAAATCCTGGTTTTGGGCTCTGGAGTCAACAATATTCAAAATAATCACTTTGTCCAAAATGAATTTAATTATTTTGCTTTTGAGGATCATTTCTGATTCTAACAATTTTGGGTTGGATAATCAAGCACTGGTGAATATCAACAAACGCGTATTCGTTGATGTATAATGAACTCATTTGTTCATTTCGCTCGTACGTAACAGCGATGATTTTCAAAATAAACGCATTTAATCTACACTGGGTTGAAGCGCTATTCCTTGTGTGTGATGGTAAATGATAAAAACAGACACTGACAAAAATATTGGATTTGATGAAAAATAATGGAAAAAATTAACCCTGCTGATCAAATCGATTCTGTTTACGATGCGTGTAACGTGAAATCATATATTCATGACTTACTCAAGGTTAAGACGTGACGGTTTATCTGTTTTACAGTGACAGGGTAAGGATGCAAGAAGTTGATATAAAACTCGATCTTGGGGTCTGAACGAGCCAATGCAGACTTTATCAAATCTGACAAATTGGCCTCTGGAGAAGTTTTGCGAGCAAGATGGGGACGAATATATTTATAATTTTTGTGGCAAGATTCACCAGCTTATTTATCAACAAAATGCAATGAAAATGGCTTTAAAATAAATAAAATTAATTTGTTTATAATGCGTAGATTAGTAACCAATGATCTTACCAACTTATCTACGTATTCTGCTAAATGTTTGTATGGAGGTAGATTTCTTATAAACGGAAACTCAGTGTATACCTGCTCTTCTAAGATGTTGTACAACTCTGTTAACTTGTCCTTGTTCAAAAATTGGTTTGACAAGGCCAAACAGCTTATCAAACGCAGGTTTCTCATCACATCAGCATCCGCATTAAGAACTTCCTAACAAACAATATGAACTGATTATGAGCTGAATAAGCCAATTTTTAGCTGAAGAAGCATATTTTGGTATGAATAAGCTCTTATTCAGCTTTCAATGTTTATTGGGTTCTGCTAACTTTTCTGGCTCAGAGAATAGCCTTCTGGCCATGTTTTAATTATTGGAACTTCCGCTACCTCCAATTTTCGGGCAATTTACGTGCATCTTGAAATGCCCTTCGAGTTTGTTCGCCATCTGTCTGGCTTTAGATTTCACGTCCGTGTGAGGGCCGGGTGTCCTGGGACCGATTTTTTTGCCGCTGTCCGAATCATCCACTCCACACAATTTAAGCGGGTGTGAAAATACGATGGTCCTAATTGGGTTCTTTAATTTTGAAAAATATGTCAGTTTTCATACATGATCTGAAAGGGCGTCATTTTCTGAGCACAGCGATATTTTTTTCGATCCTATTTACTTCCATCTCAATTTTTAAATCAAGATTTAAAGCAAAATAATTACTTCACTGTTTGACACAAAACTAACAAACTGACAGCTCGTTCCCATACGAAGCACCATCGAGGGCCGCTAAGATGGTGATTTTTGCTAATGTAAGCACACTTACTTAAAATAGTTCCAGTGCTCCAAAATTGATGAAATTTTGGATTTCGATTCCATTTGTAATGCAGATTACGAATATGCAATTACCTCAATACCCATGAAGAACCCAATTGTTCGTCCACACGTAATAGGGGTAAAATTGTCTAAAATGCATAGTCTGCACAGACTGGTGACGTATAAAACCATTTTCAATGGATTCTCCAGATGTTTTTCTACAAGAGTGACGATATTTCAGAACGTATATCAACCACAATGAGGTATTTTTAAGTCATTTTTACAAAATTTTAAGAAGTAAAATGCTCCAAAAACCCCAACTTGCCCTATTCTGCACAGGACGAACCTATTCCCACTGGATTCCTGAGCATTTTTCCCATAAGAATGATTATATTTGCAAAGGTTAAATAAGTGCTGAGCAGAGATAATGAATTTTGCTCCTTTTATGACGATTTTTTCCCACTGTGCGTCGTCTGGATCGCCTTGGCGGTGTCAAACGTATCTCCGGTCTGATCTACGAGATGTGTTGAAAGTGTTCCTGGCAAGTGTGATCCGTGATGCTGTCAACTACACTGAACACGTCAAGCGTAAGCAGCCATTGTACGGTTTTGGAGGTTAAAACATCACCAACTTTGGCAACAAAACGACACTTTTCAGGGTCAACAAGCTTATTACAGTAAAGAGTTGTGCTGTTTATCCATATTCAGAACCACATGCCCCGAACGACCACACAGTTGTAATCTTGTAACCAAACTTGGAAGCAGGCGTGCATGTGATTTTAGTCGATTCTCTTCATCAACTTTCTCTTGAAAAAAATTACTACAAATTTGGTACGCCTACAATTAAAAAACGGAAAGAGTTAAGATGATCGATCAATTGAAACAACTAAGGCTGTGTTCCATTTGGAAAATTTTCACTTAAATTTGACACTTCGAAAATAAATTAAGATGTTCGAAAATCCCTCTGTTGATGATCGTCTGATTTTCGAGAAGGTGTTTGTCAAAATTTATTCGTCGTCTGTCAGAAATAAGTCTGGTACAATAGCAGGTTTATTTGAAAATTTTCCATCTGTCAAATTTAAGTGAAAATTCACCAAATGGAACACAGCCTAAATGCTCTTCACATTTGTTCCGTCCACTAGCGGTCCTACGCTAAGCTTCCGTTCGAGCCCCTATGCACAGACCCTTCTACTTTTTTTTTCAAAAAAAAGGCTTTGAATTATACCACAAAATGCCGCTGGAAATGATGAGATATTTATGCATCAAAAGTCAGCTTTTTTACTATAAATCGAATGCCTTCGTAATTTTCGGGTAGTTTGAGGCAAAATTAAGCAATTTTACCCTATTGCTTAGTGTTTAAAATTGTGTTACAGCCGATTACTAAGTGAAATGTCATGCGCTTAAAAAAACAGTTTCATTTCAAAGCTAAGAGTGTCCTTCATAATCGTATATCAAATTGAAAATAAGACTTAAAATTGTGATTTTTTTAAAGTATGCCGATTACCTATGGCTCGAAACGGATAATCGTTATCGAGAAATCGTTACAAACGTATCGTGTAAATTGCGACTCAACGGCACCAACCGTGTGTACAGAACTGTTAGGAATAAAGTTTAATTTCCATATTCCATCCATAAATCACAGGTCATCGATCTACTCAACCCGGGAACCGCTCGCAAGCCTCTGGCTGTACGATGGTCCAAAAAATCGAGAGGCTTCTTTGTCGAGAACCTCTTCACCGTTGACTGCGAAGAACTGGACGACCTGCTGGCCGTACTGGAAGAAGGTAATGATGTCACTCGATAAATTTCCTGAACTGTTTCATGAAACTTGAAATTCAATTTTTTGTTTGTTTTCAAACCAGGTATGCGAAATCGTTCCGTTGGCTGCCACTCGATGAATGACTACTCGTCGCGGAGTCATACGATCCTGACCGTGCACATAACCTCGGAGCAGCAAGCTGAAGGCGGTGTGTTCATATCGAAACAGGGCAAAATCAACTTTGTCGATCTGGCCGGCAGCGAGATGACCAAGAAGACCCACAGCGAAGGTAAAACGCTGGAGGAGGCCAACAACATCAACAAGAGTTTGATGGTTTTGGGTGAGATGATACACAGGGTTGTTAGTGATCTTGAAGTTACGAGCTCTGTTCTCGATTGCAGGATATTGTATTGCATCGTTGAGCGATTTGAAGAAACGGAGCGGACACATACCCTATCGGGATAGCAAGCTGACCAAGTTGCTTGCGGATAGTTTGGCTGGGAATGGCGTTACTTTGATGGTATTATTCGGTTTTTCAGAAACATTAAGAAATTATTGATTTTCATAAGATATTCTTCTAGATTGCGTGCATTTCGCCGGCCCGGTCAAACATAACGGAAACGCTGAACACACTTCGCTATGCAGCCCGGGCGAAGAAGATACGCACCAAACCGATCATTGTGATGGATCCACGAGAAGCTCTGATTCTTAGCCTGAAGCGAGAAATCGGAGCTCTACAGGTGGAGAACGAACATCTCCGGACGGCGTTGAATCTCCAGTCTGAATCGCAAGAGATCAACAGTCAGGTAGACTTCCTCGAGCGGCGGCAGGTCGTACGGACGCCTCAGAAAGTCGATCTTGACAAACTGCCCGATATGGAGAGCAACGATCTCAAGGAACTGGTCAAGGTCTATATGCTGGAGAACCAAGCGCTGCGACAGGAAAACTCCGAACTCTACAGCACGCGGGAGATGATCATGCGCGATCAGGAGGTGGTCTGTCGAGAGAACGAAAGACTGTTGAAGAAGCTGGAGGATGTGAATTCGTACGTATTAGGAAAGGCTTAGGCTGTGGTGATTTGGTGATGTTTCACTTAAATTTGACAGATGATTTTTTTTTTTACAAATAAACCTGCTATTCATCAGACTTATTTCTGACAGATAAGAAATCAATTTTGATAAACACCTAATTGAAAATCGGCTGTCTGCGTATAATAGCCACGTCAAGAGAAAAACAACTTCAAATTACTTCTAGCGAGAACGCAAATTAGCGGCTGCAGCAAATCATTATATCATATATTTTGTTGAATTATCTTAACAAGAAATATTACAAATTCTCAATACTGATCATTAGCATCTTCGATTATATTTTAGTGCAATGCCTTTCGTGAAGCTTCCGTAGCATCGTAATGTTTGCTTACTTTGCACGATAAGTATTCGGTTTAACAGTTCAATATGCAGACTTGGCTTCACTCTTGGCGTAACTCTTATACACCGACTGAACAACGAATTCGTTTATTATTCAGTTCCAAAATGGATCGGGTATCAAGATTGGGTCTGCTTGTTTGCTGAAAAACGTCAGTTTGATCGTTTGTTTTTAAAATCTACCTCAGGTTGAGATTCGCACTGACAAAAAGTTCGGTTTCGCATGTTCGAAAATCCCTGTATCATCGATCGACTGTTTTTCGAGCAGAACTCATCCACTGTTGTCAAAATCTTACTTCTTGTCTGTCAAAAATAAGGTTTAATCGTTAAATTTCCATCTGTCAAATTTTAACCAAAAGTTTAAAAACATCCGCCAACTGGTTCGGAGCCTATAGGTGGTTTAAGTATGCGACTAATCATTGGTACAAATTTCAGCGTTTGCTGTCGATCGCCGATCATTCCGGCAAGACCTACGTTTTCGGCGGAAATGCTCAATTTGTCGGCTAGCGGCGATGACATGTCCAACGTCGTTTGGCAGAACGCCATGAGCGTCAGTAGCGACAGTATGGGAAGCGTCAGCCGATTCAAGCAGGATTCTCTGGACGGTCGGGTTTCCGCTAATGAGAATAAAATTCCGGAGCTTTTGCAGAAGGAGCTGGACAAGCGGAGAATCGGTGATAGGTAGATGTTTGCGGGTTACCATGGTCTGATTTGTAGTTTGACTAAGTCGAGATAGATCAAATATTTGACTTCTTAGAGATATGTAATACTCAGTAGGTAGTCTCTCATATTTTTTGGGATGATGAAATGGATACCTTTATGGAAAGAGTGTTTTACCATAGAGGTAACTCTAAGACCAGAAGGTCCCGAAGAAACGAGCTCAACTTTTTGGCTCAGCTCTGGTACTATCTTCGGTCCCAAGCTAATCGATGCACCCCTCGAAACATAGGAAAATCCACGAACCCCTCATTTTATCTGTTAAAATTTCTTAGCAAATCAAAACAAACATAGTTTAGTACTAGAATTTCGACTAGAATGGGGTACGTTAATCGTTTGCTTGGGACCAATAGGCTAGTCAAGTAGTGAGCCAATTTAAAATCGTTAGTTTTCACCGGTTGGTCCTACGACGTGTCGGACCATGTGTGCACCATTTAAATAAATTAAGTTACAAGAATACCGATGACTTATAAAGGTTCCATTCACAGCATCCAAACTATCGCCAACAACTTGAAGAGGCACAATTCGTGGGAAAACAACCGTTCGCTGAACGGTGTGAAGCTGGCGTCACGAAAAAGTTCTGCAGACAGCAGACACTCCGATCAGTCCCAACGGAGAACTTCACAAACCAGAATCATTGAGTAAGTTCATCTCCTTTCAACTTGTCGTGCAGTGTATATCACCTCTTCATCTTCATTAACTACACCATCGTTAATTTATCCTCCTAATCTGGGACACTGAATTTTGAATTTTGTGCATCGCCGCCCATACTCTACAGCTTGAAAGCTCGCTCATATCCCTACTCACCGGAGGGGGTCGTCGCCATCGGTTCGTCATGGTCTCCAATGGCCAGACGACCGGCCAGTAGTATCAGTAGCAATACGTTTAGCCGGCAGTCCTCTCTGCTGCTGCGTAAGCAGAATAATTTTCTGAGCAAAAGTCGTTCCACGGACGAAGGCCTGCTGCCAATGAAACGGAACATCTTTGGCAGTCTGGTATCGCTCAACGGGGATGACGTTGGTGCTAAGACGTTCCTTTGAGCGCGACTTAAGTATTTTTTTTGTACGTAGAATTTTTATGTAGCAATAGAAGTAGACTTGAAACCGTGTCCGTCTCAGCTGATTTAAAAAAAAAGTCAGATGCATGTCAGCGTGTATTCACTATTGTTAGATTTATGCTTTTGTATCATACTGTCAATTTCATACACTAAGCTTCAAAATGGTGTATTCTCATACAATTGAATAATCATTTTAATGTTTTTTTTTCAGCATGATCAGTTAGAATGGAAACAGGACGTACCTGTAACAAGAATGTGCAATCAAGGACAACGAACAGGGATACCGACAGGAATAGGTGTGTTTGTGTGTGTGTGATATCGTATTGTTATTGATAGAGTAAATGATGTGAATTTGTTTTGCAAAGTTGGATAGGAAAACTATATCGTTATGGAGCAGCAAGAATGCGCACATAAACAATTTTAATGTAAAAAGCATGAAAATCAATAAATGGAACTGAATGATTACATAGGTATTCAATGGAGAGAATTTCGTTTTCATCTAGAACGGTGATAACCAATCCACACGCTGGGGAAACCAAAACTTAGGGCATCATTAGCGGCGGCCCAATTGTTTGGAACAGATCCAGACCGAGCCCTGGTAGGGTTAACTACCCCATTTCCGGCCTATTAAGCACAACCCGCACTTAGTCTTTCTTAATCTAGCACAGTTTAGCACCAAACGGAATGTTATTATCACTGATAGCTTCCAAATTTATTTACCTTTCCGTACGTACCATAATATTTGATAAAGATACACCAATCGTTGAGATATTGTCAAAAGCCTAACACTGCTTCTTGAAGCCAAACTCGGCCTACGGATTCTAAACTCGGCCTAACGCATTGAAACGCCAATGAATTCACTTCGGCCTATCGGATGAAGATAAAAATTAATGCAGTCGGAGCGCTTCTTTTGTTTTTGGGAATAATGGGTGCAAACTTCCATACCACGCGTTCTCATCGATTTCGTTCGGTAGCTTATTAACTAAAGTATCGTACCAAACGTATAATTGACTTGTTAACTCTGAAATCATGGATTAATTTGAAGTTTTCTGCTCGATAGGCCCAAAATGGGCGATTAGGCCGAAGTAGTTCTTTACCCTACCGGTTTTCTAAATTTTGTTTTATTCCCTGTACAGACTATGGCTTATATCATGTAATATAGGCTGTCTTGCAATGAGCACTCATACATCTACTTTTCACTGGAAATCCTATGTATGAGTGCTCATTGCAAGACAGCCTATATTACGTGATATAGGTTGTAATGTGAACGGGGTATGAGAGAACGTACTATAAGTCTCGGTTTAATTTCGACTTATTTTGGACCAGGCAAACCACTGTTTCATACCACTTTGACACGAGTGAAGCACAAGTTTTTATTTTGCTCTCGGTATTGGAGTGGTTTCAGGTGGCGACCCCGAAGTAATGGTTAACATCCATACCTTTCACGCCAAACTCACGAGTTCAAATCTAACCCGGACAAGTCACGAATGGCCCAAGAGTGTTAAAGTGATTACAATTTAAAAAAGGAGTGTTTTCTGCAAAATTGGAAAAGCTATTGGCAGATCAAGCTCGAGAAAGATAACAATCGCCCAGAGTGCAGATTTTGGCTACGAAAACGGTTCCACTGGAAGCGATTGGGAACCGATTACTGTTGCATTGGATGTATTCCTGCACGGTCTCGAGTGAGTAGTAGCAGTAGCTAGCAGACGGTTACGACGGTCGAAGGATTTCCCTATTATTTTGGTGCGACGACTACAAACAACGCTGTTTTAGGTGCCGTCAACAAATTCCAAGTCGGTTAACGACGTAGGATCAAGAGCTGAGCTATGACACAATCCTGGAAGATTCTCCCCCTGATGATGTATGTAATAGCAAAAAGTAATCGAGATATCATGTAATATCAAACTGAACATTGCATTAGGTCCTAAGTAATACCAACAATCAGTACGAAACTAACGATTTAAAATTGGCTCACTACTTGACTAGCCTATTGGTCCCAAGCAAATCGACTAACGTACCCCATTCTAGAATAAATTCCAGTACTATGTTTGTTTTGATTCGCTATGAAAGTTTGACAGATAAAATGAGGGGTTAGTGGATTTTCCTATGTTTCGAGGGGTGAATCGATTAGCTTGGGACCGAACATAGTACCAGAGCTGAGCCAAAAAGTTGAGCTCGTTTCTTCGGGACCTTCTGGTCTTAGAGTTACCTCTATGCTTGTACACACTTAATCTAGCTCGGTAAAATCTCCAACAGTCGATTACCTCGGCATTTACTTTTCCTGATATCTGCAAAATATCTGTTTGTTAGCTGATATCTCAGCAAAATGTTATTTGTTAGCTGAGTCTCGGCAATTGTTTTACTGAATCTCAGCAAAATAATTTGCAGAATCACTCGGCTGTTGGAATCTCGGCGAAAAAAAAAAATTAAGTGTGTATGACCTACTATGAGCATGAGCATTATTTGTATAATAATTATGAGCACTATACGACAACTATGCAAGTGTGACCATGGATGTGCTCATAATTTATTATACAAATAATATTCATGTTCGTAGTTTGTCATACAAGTGTAACTAACGGGGCTGCAACGCCTGTCATCTGCGAACAACTCGAGTGAAGCCAAATTTATCTGGTGCTCTGGTGCTAATTTGACAACTCCTAATTCAACTTAATTCTATGATTAAGCTTGGTACATGTTGCACCGCGTTGCGGAAAATAGAGTTTTCTAGATAACATTATAGCAAACAAAGATTCACGCAAATTGTGCTTGTCAATTCGAAAACAAATAAATCATTGCTTAATTGTCCATTGCAGGAAAGTAAGGATGATTTTGAAGGCATTACATTTATTGCCAGTTTGCCGCATTTAATGTTACATCTTCTTCTTCTTCTTCGCATTTCAAGCTTATTGCGTATGGCATTATTAGCTTATTGCGTGCTCTCAACATAGTGTTCTAGATGCACTTCCACAGTTATTAATTGAGAGCTTTCGATGCCTGTACCATTTTTGCATTGATATGATTGTGTGGCAAGTCCAATCATACTTCCTATGCCCAGGGAAGTCGAGAAATTTTCCAACCCGAAAAATTCCTAGACCGAACCGGGAATCGAACCCAGCCACCTCCAGTATGGTCTTGCTTTGTAGTTGCGCCTTTACCGACTGAGCTAAGGGAGGCCCCTTGTTACATGGTTGGAGCTTAAATATGTTATGGATCACCAGCGCTGCTGATGTTTTCGGCAGTTTCAAGAACTGGATCGCTTTGCAGAGGGTTGGGTGTATCGCCATATAAAGTTGTTTATTATTTTCGTCGGGCTAGACTCAAAATGTATGTAATTCGATCTGTTAAAATGAGTTTGACAGCGATTTGTTATGTATTTTCCTCGGATTTTTACTACACAATTTTACACAGTGCACCAATACAACCAGGCGTGAAAGCCTCTATAGTCTGTACGGGGTATAAAATAGCAAAGGCTAAAGTTGTAAATCTAAACGCTATCTTCAACAGATGTTTGGAACTGCACTACTTTCCAAGCATGTGGAAAGTAGCAAAAATCATACCAATCCGCAAACCCGGTAAGGGTCCAACATTGTCTTCAAGCTACAGACCAATCAGCCTCCTTTCAGCGCTGAGCAAATTGTTCGAAAACTCATTCACAATCGTTTGCTCAAATTTGTCGAGGAAAATAACATTCTCCTTCCGGAACAGTTTGGGTTCAGAAAGGGGCTAGTACGGGTGATGAACAACATCCGAAGTAACTAAGCTGTATCCAAGTCCACAGCCATGGCCTTGTTAGACGTTGAAAAGGTGTTTGACAATGTTTGGCATGACGGACTTGTGTACAAGCTTTGTAACTTCAACTTCCCATTATATCTGGTTAAAATCACCCTCCAGCAAAGGTCGTTTAAGGTATCGTTGAATGGTTGTCTTTCAGACACGTTTTCCATCCCAGCAGGAGTCCCGCAAGGCAGTCTGCTGGGCCCCTTGCTTTACAGCATTTATACTTCCGACATTCCTTCCCTCGGTGACGGTTGCGTGTTTTTCCTGTTCGCAGATGATACCGCAATAGCTGTCAAAGGAAGAATCCCTCGCGAAATAACAAACAAACTTCAACGATGCCTTAACGCCTTCGCTGATTATGCCACCATGTGGAAAATCAAAATCAATGCCTCAAAAACACAAGCGATCATGTTCCTCCATCGGCAATCGCCAAAGCTGAAACCGGCTCCATTTTGTACTGCAATCATGGATAGCACAAGGGTTGAGTGGTCTGCCGAAGTAACCTATCTCGGGATGTTGTTCGATGAAAAGCTCCTCTTCCGTTCGCATGTAGAGAAAACAGTAGTCAAGTGTCTGCCTTGGTTAGGTGTCTGTATTCGCTGATTTGCCGCAGATCCCACCTCTCAAGGGTGAACCAACTGGCTGTCTACAAACAAATAATAGCACCTGCGATCCTCTACGCAGCTCCGGTGTGGGAATCATGTGCACAGACTCACAGGAACAGAATTCAGGTCACTCAGAATAGAGTGCTGAGGATGGTTCTTGATCGTCCTTTCGACACTAGAATAACAAATTTACACGAAGAGGCAGGCATTGCCAAAATAGATTCCAAAATTAACGAAATTAGCACTAAATTTACACAAAAATGTATTTTATCAGAACATGCTTTGATAAGCAATTTGTATATAGTAGTTGTAGCTTGTAGGTTAGTTGTAGTTGTAAATAGTGGTGATAAGTAGTCTCCTTTTTCAAATTAAAAAAAGAAACAATCCCACCAATGTGGTCATTCTTAAAACAGGCCTGATAGGACTAGGAACTGTAATTAATAATAATTGAAATTTCAAAGAAACTAAAGTTGAAAAGACGCATCTGTCACTTGATAAGTAATACATGTAAACTAAAGAGCCTGAGTTTATACAAATATGTACAAATTCAAGAAATATACACCAAAAAAGTTGTCATATAGTTTCCATAGGGAACTTAAATGATATTTTTCCAATAAAAAAATTAATGATTTGTATCTGAAATTTACATAACATTCATATGATCAGATGAATTCTATGTGATAAATCACATAAACTCCATTGGACACATAAGGTTCATGTGATTTTGTAGTGCGATTCCCAATTATGAGATCACATGAAAGTTATGTGAAATTCTAATGGTTATTTTCCATTGGAAATGTGATTTATTTTTTGAGTGTAGATCATTTAAAGTCAAAAAAAAAAGTTGTCAATCTAGCAGCCTGGATTGGAACGAAGTTCGTACGAACCGGTACACCCGCATAAACGCGAACCATATCTTGACCTTACCAAAAAATGGTTTAAAATTATTTATAATTCCTGCTAAACTTTAACTGAAATGGTTATGGAACTTTACATGAACGTTTTTGTGATAACGTTTTAACCTTATGTATTATTGGTTTTTGGAAGTGAACCTTACAAATAATGGGTTGTTAAGAACCATTACCATTCAAAATAGTTAAGGTTAAACCTTTATCACAAAAACGTTCATGTAAAGTTCCATAACCATTTCAGTTAAAGTTTAGCAGGGATTATAAACAATTTTTAACCGTTTTTGGTAAAGTCAAGTTATGGTTCGCGTTTATGCGGGCGGGTGGTCTATAGATTATAACAAAAGTAAAAAATAATATGATTTGTTCCGACCATTGGCTGCCAAAAAGGATAACAAGTGCAGAATTATTCAATAACTAACAATTCCAATATTAAAAAAAAATCCTTGTTGTTATTGGCAAGGTTGCAAAGACTCATTTCAGCTAAAACAATGTTTTTCTAAATTATGAAATAATTAGATGCCATGATCAAATTTTGAATTGGTAGGATACAAGAAGAGGTTGCAAAGAATGTGTTTGACAGAATGACACAATCAGCGATTTTTCACAAACTCACTCACTCACTCACTGACTCACTCAGCGATCAGCAAATCGCTGATTGTGACTCATAGAAAGCAACATTTACAGGTTTTATGTTTCCAACGCATACTTTGTAACCTCTTCTTGTAAGTTACAAGTAAAACATGCCATCATACCATCTTTTGGTTTTATTATTCCGAAAAACATAATTTTAGCTGAAATGAGTCTTTGCAACCTTGGTTATTGGTTGATTTGGCCAATTTTCAATAGTTCACTATTGCTTAACAATTGTTTTTACAATAACAATCCATATAAAAATAAACTTTACGCCTCACATTAGGAAGTTAATTATTGCATTATTGCGACAAATTGGCTAGCCCCTTGAACGACATTCTTGCACTAAGAATTTCTACAAGAAGCAAAGGGTTCGACTGCACGTAAACAAAGCACAAAAGTCGACATAACATACGCCCCGTCTCTTTCGCACCAACGGATGACTCTTGCAATATGTTCCTTCTTGTTCTTGGTCGTTTTATTATCGTGGTCGTGGCCGACTGACTGTACACGGTTTTCGTTCGTGCGGACTTTTTCCAGTGAGCTAGGCGTGTATCAGCAAATTTCACGAATTTCCCGTATTATCTACAATCTTAAGTGCATTATTTACGTTGCCCATCGCGTGTGCTTCCCGAATAAGGTCACATTCAGAAGATTGGTTCGGTATCGGTGGTGTAAAGTAATCACCCGAAGGGCTAGCGCGTCTGGAAATAGCAAGGGCGACTTACCTGATTTGCAATCTGTCCTGCTCGTTGGTTAATGAAGAAATAGAAAAGCCGGCTTCGTGCACTACCAGTTAATTGTTCCACAAGTTCGAGTGAAAAATTGTTAATTTGTGTGGCGAAAGGATAGAAAATCGTCAAATTTGATAAAACACTACGTGTTGTTTCAAGTTCGCGACGGAAAATTCCTGTTGCAACACCGCTTGTTCCGTTCGAAACTTCAGAAGGGGTTGAAGTACGGGAGGGAAGGGTTTTTTTTTGTGTTTGACATTTTGTTCACGGTTGCCAGATTTGCTGTTTTGTGTTCTAGGAGAGTATGGTGTAAAATGAACATCAGAAGTTCAATTTCGTGTGCAATACGAAATTCAATCATGTAGGATTATTGAGTGCTTCACGACTATAAAAGTGCTTAAAGACGTGTTCGTGGTATCATCCAGATTATTTATGGATAATATGACCAATAACTCAGCGGCTGAATTCAATTGACTCAGAGCATTTTCTTTCCATACGAAATTTGCTCATACACAGCAAAAAAGAATGTAATATCGATCAATGTAATTCAATCTGATGTATGAAATAATGATGTAATAGCAAAAAGTAGATACAATTTTGTTCGCAAAATCGATGTACATCGTACAACGTTATATTACACAACACAATTATTTGGATGTAATATTCAACTTTTTTTTTCCCGTGTAAGCTTATCAATGAAATGAAATAAACGAATGGTTGGCCGTTTTAGTGTGCGGGCCTATTAATGGATCGAAAAATTTCGTTGAACGGTTGTTTCGAAAATCAAGTTATTTTTAATGATTTTTCTCGATTATGCGGAATTTTCCTACACGATTAGTGGCTATCAAGCGGTGCTAAAGAATGGTATCAAAACCCGATTTGTTTACGTTTTGGACATAAAGGGTGATACGGTCAAAATTTGGTCAAGGGAAAACGCGTGTAAATCGGTGAAATCGTTTATTTAAAAAATTAAATTAAATTTCTTTTTCAAGTTCAATTAGTATAAAATTCAGGAAAAATATTCAGTTAGGCTTCCGCTTTTCCAAATCCGAATTGCCGGGCCTTACGCTTGACCCCTGCCATCAGATTTTGTACAGCCACCTTGTTCACCTTCTTCGCCGCAGAAAGCCAGTTTGCCTTGAACTGCTGCTCGCCCTTAGCAGTTTTTTTGGTCTTCTTTAGGTTCCGCTTGACAATAGCCCAGTATTTCTCAATTGGGTGGAGCTCTGGCGTGTTGGGAGGGTTCTTGTCCTTGGGAACCACCTGCACGTTGTTGGCGGCGTACCACTCCATGGCCTTTTTACCGTAATGGCAAGATGCCAAATCCAGCCAAAACAGTACGGAACAACCGTGTTTCTTCAGGAAAGGCAGCAGACGTTTATTCAAACACTCTTTCACGTAAATTTCTTGGTTGACAGTCCCGGAAGCTATGAAAATGCTGCTTTTCAAGCCACAGGTACAGATGGCTTGCCAAACCACACAGCAAAAAAAAAAATGTAATATCGATCAATGTAATTCAAGCTGATGTTTGAAATAATGTTGTAATAGCAAAGAGCAGATACAATATTACATCAATAGATGTAATTTTGTTCACAAAATCGATGTACATCGTACAACGTTATTTTACACAACCGATGGATTGACCTGGTTGCAGCAGTTTGGATGTAATATTCAAAAACTTTTTTTTTTGTGCAGATATTTCTTTGCGAACTTTGACAGTTTCATGTGCTTGAAAACATCTGCTACCTTTCCCCTTCCTATTGCCGTATAAAACTCCTGTCCCGGAAGCTGCTTGTAGTCGGCTTTGACGTAGGTTTCGTCGTCCATTACCACGCAGTCAAACTTCGTCAGCATCGTCGTGTACAGCCTCCGGGATCGCGCTTTGGCCGTCGTATTTTGTTTATCATCGCGATTTGGAGTCACTACACTAATAAAATTCCACACATTTTTATTGACGAATTTCCATGTAAAATTCCACATGATTTTCATGTGACCACACATAAACAGAATCCACCCAGAAGCACACATGAAATTTATGAGTCAAATGAATAGTATGTGTGGTTACACATGACTTTTATGTGTACACATATTAAGTATGTGTCCGACACATAGATATCATTTGTTGATCACATTGCAAAAAATCATGTGTGGGACACATAAAAACAATCTTTGAAATTTTATTAGTGTACCTTCTTGTAGGTCGATAGTCCGGCTCGTTTTTTGGCTCGATACACGGTTGTAGACGATACACCCAGCTTATTTGCGGTATCTCGGAGAGAGAGGTTAGGGTTTCGCTTGAAACTACCGGCAACTCTCTTTGTCGTCTCAGCGGCTTCCGGTTTTCGATTTCCCCCCGATCCAGACTTCCTGGCTGTCGACAAACGTTCCCCAAACACTTTAATTACATTTGTAACGGTTGATTTGGCAACTTTTAGCGATTTTGCCAACTTTGCGTGCGAGTAGCTCGGATTTTCGCGATGCGCGAGCAAAATTTTGATACGCTGCTCTTCTTGCTTGGACGGCATTTTGACAACTGAAGAGTGAATTCCAAAATCAAAATAGGAGCAACATTCTGCACACACACACCTTCAAAATGAGGGGTGTTCAGGTTTTTTAAATGCAAAATTGAAAGAAATACGTCAAGTTGATATTGACCAAATTTTGACCGTATCACCCTTTAGGCTGAATTCAAATTGTTACTGTAGAGACGTTTCTTAGTGGAATTGACACCTAGAAATCTAGAGTGTGTGAATGATCTGGTGTTAATGGTGCTGAATGTAAACATAAACAAAGCAGAAATTCATATGAGAATAAACTACGGCCAGTTCTACTGTGACCTGTCAAAAGTTCTTGGTAAATAAAAAAGTCAGTTGATCGCAACTGTCTCGTGGACAGCCTTATTCACAAACGTCAGAGAAGTCTATGTACACTCAAAAAATTCCACACGTTTCATCGAAGTGTTTAACACTTGATTTTTTAAATACACAATCACATTTAAGTGTATTTCACCTTGGTTCAATGTGTTCTACACGTTAATTTCTAGTGTTTCAAACTATGAAATGTTGCAAATCTTTCACTATCTATTCAAGTGTATTGCACATTTAATCACACTACTGTTCAAAACAGATGGATTTAAAGTGTTTTGCATTTCAATGCGATGTGAATTGCTTGCTCAGGATGGTAAACATCAAAAACAAGAGTTGAGACTTTATCCTATCAACCCGCCTCATATATGAGAACAACCGTGGCACAGTGAGATTGAACGAAGACTCCGGCAGCAGCAAACCCAACAGTCCATGATCGAATCCCAAATCAGACCCATTTAAATATATGTGAAGCTCTGGCAGTTTTGTTTATATATTTGTCGATTAATTTTTAGAGTCGGTAAAGTAGAATCACAAACGAAGTGACAGACGACTAACTGGCGAAGAAATCCATTAAAATAATGTGGTTCACTGTAATAGAATTTTCTTGGAAGCCATCGGCCACCAGATGGGTTAGTTTTTTGGTTATGATTTGAACAAAGTTGATTTTGTGTACAATGATTATTTGACAGTGTGCAAAGAGTGTATCATTTTGTCATTTTTTTATGCATTTCAGTTTTGAGTAGAGTGAAAGAGATAGAACCAAAACATTCTAATACATTTGGTGAAAATGCTAGTACAATCCATAGTAGTGTTGCCATTTGGTACAATCCAGTAGAAGTTGTGTTGCCATGTGGTACACTGAAAAATTTAAATAGCAGGTTAGTCACCAAAGTTTTCGAGCCGCTCCGTCTGTCACTTCGTTTGTGGTAGAATATTGTAGAACATTGAACTATGATGTGCAGAGCTATTAATTTCACCATATGAGGCACATAGAATACAAGTGTGTCACAATAATTGATCATTTTAGATGGTCAAGTTTTGAACCCACCACAGCATGCTTTTGGCGCCACTGTATATGGACGATCAAATGTAAAATACTGTGGTAGCCACAGCATAGTTCTGTCAAAACCTCAGCATTTTCATTGATCCATTCTAATCCATAGTGTTCAGGCATGGTTCATAGCATAAGATTCACACATGCAATGGATGTGTTTAACAATAAGCGCAAAATTAAATGTGAGACACATGATGATGATGACGTGTGGAATTTTTTGAGTGCAATCTCTGTGGATCGCATCTTATTCTCTTATACCCCGTACAGACTATGGCTTATATCATGTAATAAAGGCTTTCTTGCAATGAGCACTCATACATCTAGCTTTCACTGGAAATCCTATATGTATGAGTGCTCATTGCAATATAGCCTATATTACATGATATCAGCTATAGTCTGAACGTACTATTACGTTTACTTTTTTCACGCATGCAGCGCTCGCGAAAAGAGCAGCAGCTAAGCGAAAAGTTCACGTTTCCAGAAAGAGCGTATCTGTCAGATTTTCACTTCACTGGATGTCAAGTGATCAGTTGGATTTCTCGCGTCACTTTTCAAAAGGTCCTAAGTAACACATTTCAACAAATCGAGTTAAGCGATACAAACTATGCTCTTCTATCAGTGTATGTGATATAAAAACAGCCATCCAAATTTATTTTAATTTATTTAAGATAACCATAGGTCAAAAATTGTCCAATGTACAGTTTGAAATGATGATGCTCATTTTCTAAAGCGGCCAATCTAAAGTTAGGTACTCTACTCTGAAATCTGTGAAAGGGAATCTAGAATGTAGAACAAAACGTCCAATGTAGCAGTCATTGATTATGTCATTGAGAAAAATCGTCCAATGTAACATGTCCGATGTACAACTTGAGTAGTTAAAACGCCCTATGTGTTTTTATGTATGTGTGTGTGTGTGTACAATCTAACCCCCACTGTCCGGCAGTGTTATTATGGAAGAAAACTGCTTTTTATTACCCTTAAATTAAAGCAGGTTTAGTCCGGGAGTTAGAAGGTGTTAGCTCTATTGCAGCTCCAGTGACCCATTTCAGAATGCCTGGTAATTCACGACCACTCCGAGGTCACTTTTACTTACAATAAGCCCCGCATGTTCACTCTACCTTTATCAAATGGATAATGGTATCATAAACACACTTCCAGATTAAAAAAATATTATTTCCAAATCTGGCACGTATATAGTTTTGAAATGTGTTCAACTGTATTAAATCGATTTGAATGGACATTTCTTACCAATTTTGTTTCGAATACCTCTTGATTCATTCAGTGCTGGTAGCACTTACTGGCCCTTACCGGCGACCAACTCGTCTGCCCGCAAAAGCAACAACGCCTAAATCTCAAAGCTCTCTGGACGTCCCCTCGAAAATGCAATCGAGATATGTATAAGAACAATCTTCAACTGGAACGTACTCACCAAATCAATACATCCGGAAGCACATTCCCGATGCTTATTTTTCTCTCGCATGACCGTCGTCGTCGAACGGCAAAAAAAGGGAACTCGGTGAACAATTTTGTGATACGGAATTTTCACTGAACATAAACCGCGAATTTACGAATTACACCACTCCCAACTGCGAAACACGAAGCACTTTTGGTACACTTTCGATCAATTTCTTTCGAAAACACCGATTGTGCCAAACTCTTTCACGCACCTTGCAGCGTGAAATAAACTGAAATTAAAAATTATCCGTGAGAAAATCAAATAACGCAGATTTCGACATCTCTTCTGATGCTTGCAAACATGTTGAATCACGTTTTCTTTCTCTATTCTACAACTTCCCGGAAAGCGATAAAACTACCAATGACACACGTATAAACGTCCGGGAGGCAGAGCGCCAGCGCTAATCCGGCAAATGCAGCCGAAAACTATGAACGCGAACGCGAACCATATCCAAGGGCGTTCGAAACTGCACTCCCCTATGTGTTTTTATGTATTGTAGCATGAAATTCAAAGTAAAATTGTGATTTTACCGTTTCTACTGAATTTTCAACGTAATTATTCACTGACTACATTACAAATAGAGTCGCAAAATGTATAGTTTCTAAACAGTTAAAACAATAATCTGTCAAACTTCAACTTCGATTTTCTCAAAATGGTGGATATGTTACATTGGTCTTTTTGAAAAAGTGACGCGAGATTTCGTTTCACATGAACTGTAAACTGCGAAAAAAGGAAACTGGAAAATGTTCCAAACATTTTTTTACAACCTTTTTCGAAAGTGAAATTTTCCGATTTTTCAGGTGCTTCAAATTTCGTTTCGCTTCGATCTGCATACTACAAAAAAAAATATATAATAAAACAACGAAATTACAATGATTTTTACTGTTGAATTTTGAGTACATTAAAATTTATTGTTAAGTTATTGTAAGGGAGAAAAAAAAAATCGATTTTTAACGATACAATTCTCAAACAACGAAAATTAGTGTGATGAGATCAAATTTGTTCGAGAAAAATCACTTTTTTTATTGTTAAGATGCTTAACAACCTCCCTTCTTACAGTAAATTTCTCAAATACCATGAGTTTCATTGTGATTTTATGGTAATGAACAAAAATGTCGAATGTTTTGACTGGTTACAATGACAATTGTATTTTAATTGGATTTTTTTACGGGTAGGCTTTATGCGGGAAACTTTCTATTTTGTACCAAATAAGACTACGATACAAAAAAACAAATAATTGCACAGCATTTTCAGCATTCTGGCAACCGTACCGTAGAAGTTTGCGTCATCCTGAAAAACGCAACTTTTCCTCCTGACGTCTGCTGTCAAGTTCCAGTTCAGTGGAACGGTTTTGTGAACGCACCCTTTCTTCTTGCAGTTTGATGTCGACTCGCGAATTCTAACCGGGCATCATCTCCATCATCATCCGACGAGTGAAACAAGCAAGCAGACAAAAGAAGCCGCTTTTCTGCGAGTGAACGTTTGGCGTTGCAAGCCGGGACAGAAAATTGGTGTTTTTTGCAGTGAATTTGCGGAAATTAGTGCTTTTAGTTGGTGAAATTATTGCCTGTCGGTGATCGTTTCGGTGTTGGTGTTGGAATTGATTTTGGTTTTCTCTGGCGGGTGCTCTGGTCTCTGGTCGTCACGGAGGCGCACCGGTTTTTAGTGCGGCTTAATGTCTAGTGGTGAATTTCGTGACAGTTCCGCCGTCGATCCCCCAGCCGCCAAAAAGCGGAAACTGCCTTCATCGCCTTCGTCTTCGTCGTCGTTGTCGACTCCCCTCACTGCAGCAGCAGCCGCAGTAGCAGCCGAACAGCAGAAGCAGCAACAACAACACAAACTAGAAGAAGAAGACTCAGCAGTAGCAGTTGTAATGGCGACGGCAAACAACAATGGATCGGCACCGTTCGAAGGTTCTGCGGGCCAGGATATTGACGAAGGCCTGTATTCGCGGCAGCTCTACGTTCTGGGACACGATGCGATGCGTCGGATGGCACGGTCCGATGTGCTGATCTCGGGCCTCGGCGGATTGGGCGTGGAAATTGCGAAAAACGTAATCCTCGGTGGTGTGAAATCTGTCACTTTGCATGACAAAGCGCTTTGCTCGCTGGCGGATCTGTCATCGCAGTTCTACCTTACGGCGGAAGATGTTGGACGGAACCGTGCCGAGGTTAGCTGCCGCCAATTGGCCGAGCTGAACAACTATGTGCCTACCACTGCGTATACGGAAGAACTCACCGAGGACTTTCTTCGCAAGTTCCGGGTGGTGGTACTAACTTTGACACCCCCCGCGGAACAGCATCGGATTGCGGAGATAACCCATCGGAACAACATTGCCCTGATTACGGCCGATACCCGGGGCTTGTTTTCGCAAATTTTCTGTGACTTTGGAAAGGATTTCACCGTGTACGACCCGACCGGAGCCAACCCAGGCTCGGCCATGGTCGCTAGCATTACCAGCGATGTGGACAGTATTGTGACCTGTTTGGATGAGAACCGTCACGGATTCGAGGATGGCGATTACGTTACCTTCACCGAGGTAAGTGCAAATTTGGCTAATTTCCACAGAAATACGCATTTTTTTTTTCGCATTGTGACTCATACGCGCCTGCAAAGACCAATTACGACGATGAGAAACGACGACGATGGTAGTGATGAAATAGGAAGACAAACGAAGAAAAAAATGTTGATTGCGCGAACTGCAGCAGCAGCGAGGTATAACTTTTTTTTTTTAACAGGGTATTTTGTGACGTCACAGAAGAAAAAATAAATAATGACCGATGGCGGGGAAAACGAGGCAAAAATCAATCCAATCCATTGCAATGGTGAAGTGTGCCCATCGTGCATACCAACCATAGAGAGGACCTATCTACCATCACCTCAGTCTGAGGGTATTTTGTTGTTGTTTCTTATGCATTGGTCATCGGTTTTTTCTTTTCTTTCTTTCCTCTTGCTGTGGGTGTAAAAATAGCAACGAAAATGGCTACAAATCGAAAGGAAATTATAGCTATTTTCCAGTGGAATTTTCCACTCTCTGCTGTTAAGCGGGGTGTGTGTGGATATTTTTGATTTGTAAGTCCTAGAAAGGGATAAACGACTTATCGTCAATTTTCGGGTTGGGGATCTGTGTTGCTTGAAATGTGGTATTTATTTTGTAATTTTGAATTACAGAGATAGTGATATGTGATAGAAAACACTGGAGACTATTGGGGTAGGACGGGGCAGATCGTCACCCTGAGGTTAACATCATTTTTATACAAACATTGAACACATTTAAAATATTGTCTGTCCAAGTTCTTGTCTGCTCTAGCGCCTTAGGTTGTTGGGAAATGCACCGAATACTGGACAGTCCGGTAATCCTGACATTTTATTTTTAATTAATTAATACGTCTACTTTGCAACATATTGAACATATCTGATGAATCTGAACGATTACATAAATTCATAATAAATTTTTCGGTCCATTTTAATATGTTCTGTTCCGATACTATCCTTCCTAACTGCCCTCCTTATCCTTTTTTCGACAGCAGGATGACTAGTAATCCGGGAAATCGAAAAAAACTGTGTATTAGAAATAAGCGGCAAAAGCCAGTGGATTTCGATGACAAATTGTTCTCTTCTCGGAAAAAATAAGATTCTGGACCTTTAAAAAAAAAAACAAGACCCTTGGATTGGACTAGATTTTTAGGATGCAGTCATTTTGAACAACTAGTAAGAGAATGTTGATGATTGTGAATGAATTCTAAGCACAACACCAAGGTATTTCATAGACAATTGCCAAGGAAGTGTTGGGAAAAATTATAATAAAGTTGTCATTTCAGAGTGGAATTTTTAAGAAGTTCTATGATGGGAAAGCGTTTCCAGCATCCGCGAAAAATATCAAGTGAATCCATTTGTTAGGGTACAAAGCAGTTCTTAGAAAAGTTTAATAGTAATTCCGAGTATAATTGCTAGGGAAGCTCAAGGAGACTTTCTAGATAATTCTAAGGAGAGTTGACAGAATTGTGAATGAAACTTGATGAATTATTGGAAGATGCATTTAAAATTCAAAGATAATCTTAGGATGAATGCCATGAATTTGTTGGAGTGTTTTGTATAGAATTTCCAGACTGTTTTAAACATTTTTCAAGGGAATCCCAGAGAGAATCTTACATTAATTTTACGGGAATTCTGAGTAGAACCACAGACAAACAGACGTAGTTCTTCATTCTGGATCATTGTTCACGCATTTAACGATTGATTTGAATATTAACATGTGCGCGAAGTGCTCACCGAAGTGCTCATCGAATTACTTTGACGTTTCTATATATTCTGTTTACCTTGCATGCAACATTGCTAGCGACTCTGTGAGCAAGCTTGTTTTCCGCGAGAAGCTCGAGGGATGCCGTTACAGATGTCCTATGTTTTGAGGTACAGTGTTTTCAAGAAAAAGTTATTCAAAGAGGTACGTCTGTTTGTCTGTGGTAGAACCATAGAGGTAACTCTAAGACCAGAAGGTCCCGAAGAAACGAGCTCAACTTTTTGACTCAACTCTGGTACTATCTTCGGTCCCAAGCTTATCGATTCACCCCTCGAAACATAAGAATATCCACTAACCCCTCATTTTATCTGTCAACTTTCATAGCAAATCAAAACAAACATAGTGTAGTACTAGAATTTCGACTAGAATGGCGCAGGGTGTCGACTACCTGGAAAAACCTGGAAAGTCAGGGAATGTCAGGGAATTCTATTTATGATCTGGAAAGTCAGGGAATTTTAGTGTAGGTCAGGGAAAAAAATTATGTTGATCACATTGCAAAAAATCATGTGTGGAACTCATAAAAACAATCTTTGAAATTTTATCAATGCATGACGTCAATGTCCCGGGCATACTCGCTGCGTTTATGGACGCCCTTGCCAGTTACTGCAAGTATCCATGGATGGGCCCAATGTGAATTGAAGCTAGAGGTAAAAAAATGTGGCGAGAAGCTGATAGATCTGAGAAGCTGTGGGCTGTTTATTTTGCATAATGCATTCAAGGATAGTGTTCGCAGTATCAGTTGGGATGTTGTCCAATATTTGCGTGGTATCTACAATATCTTCAAAGCTGTACCAGCAAGACGAGCGTTTATCACGATGTATTCTGGATCTACCATTTTCCAGTTAAAGTTTTGCGGTCACCGATGGTTGGAAAATAGTGCTGCTGTTCAGAGGCAGGGCTGGTAGCGAGTCACTTTTTAGTGACTTGGTCACTTTTTTCAAGACAGTAACTAAAAAGTCTCTTTTTTTAAGGCCAAGTCACTAAAGTCACCTTTTCTTGTAATAAGTAACTATTTTCAACTTTTTTAGCGTTAACGGTGCCGGTGGTGTAGTGGTAAGCGTGATTACCTCTCACCCCAGCAGGCCTGGGTTCAATCCCAGTCGGCGCCGCCGGGATGTTCTGAGGCATAACATCTCTGATCACGCCTTCCTTCGGATGGGAAGTAAAGCCGTTGGTCCCCGGTTCATGAGTTGATGGGTCGATAGGTAGGGTCCAGTTGTGGGAGCTGCCTTCCTGGCACGTCGGTAGCATTGGTGCTCAGCACGGAAAACAAGATCGACGGAAAAAACAAATCAAAGGAAAAAAAAAAATTCAAGCTTCGAGAACATCAAGACAGATCAGAGAATCAAAGGGCCGTTCAAATAATTTCAAGGAAATATTAGAAACCTTAAAAAAGTTTCGAGAAGCTCAGTGAATTTCCGAAAACTTCAGCAAGGCTTCGAGAGAATTCCTGGGAATTTTATGAACATCCGGAAAACGTGAGAATATTTTAAGGGTGTTATATCATGGAGATTTCAAGAACTTAAAAAATGTGAAAATTTAGCTTAGTTGGTTAGAGAACATAAACGAAGTTCCATTAATAAAAAAGCGAGAACTTTTAGCAAGCAGTGATATATTCTAGAAATTCCAGAGAACTAAATTTAGATATTTCTAGATATTTAAATGATATTCAGCGAAGTTCCGAGTACTTCGAGGATGATCAGATAGCTTCAGAATAATCCCATTAACTTCAGCAAATTTGCAGCAACTTACAAGGAGTTCCGTGGAATTATAGGGTATTCCAAGAATTCTATGATTGATCCTAAAACGTCAGGGAATTATAAATATGTATCAGAAAATTTGGTGGATTATTAAACGAATTTAGAGAACTTCAGGCAAGCATCGATAAGTTCAGCGAAAAGCGAGTGTTAATAATGGTTATAATACTTAAGGAACATTGTCGAAACTACAAGGCACATTAATTAATTTCAGTAAAGTTGCGGGTTCTTAAAAAATACTGATAAATTCAGGGTAGTCTAGATAACTTTAAAGAAATTCAATAATCGTTTAGACACCAAGAAAGTCTAGACTATTGAAGAAGTTTTAAATTAGTGCCGATAATTTAAGGGAAGTTTTATGAACTTCAGAAAAATCTTGAGAACTTCAGTGAAAATCATAGAAATATATTAATTATTTCGTTCTAATTCCATGAAAATTTCGGGAGCACAAAAGTTCCATAAATTTATAAAAATTTCGGAAACGTTACAGAAAGACAGTGATCTTCAGAAACCAAAAAAAATATATATATTTATTTTTTTTAATTTATTTTATACTGAAGATTAATCCACTGTGAATCTTAAAAGTTCAAAGTGTGAATGAAAATATCGAGAAAAAATAAATGGTTGTATTTTAAAATTCATTATTTTCATTAAATTTTCCTTAACAAGAAATTTTTTAAATTCTTTGAGACTTCCAGGTATTTTAGGGAAACAAAAAATGTCTTGAAGATTCCCGGTTTTCCAGATTTTTGAAATTAATAGACACCGTGACTAATACTGTGGGTTTGGTTATAAAGTTTCTATTGAATATGTCGCTTTAAAGGTTCATATCGTACATAAGTGTTTATGAGATAATAATTTAATAAGTCTAAAACATCAAACATTTATTTGATGTATCTTCTCTTAGGTCACTTTTTAGTCACTATTTTTACAACTTTAAGTCACTATTTGGTCACTTATTTATTCGACATGGTTACTAAAATCACTATTTCTGACAGCAGTGATCGCAATCAAAATTACTCCGCAAATACGAAAATTTATTTAAGGCGTCCAGAAAGACAAAACGTCAGCTCCTAACAAGATGTTAAAAACGGTTTGAATGACTCGCTGCTGATGGCTAATAGTAAGTTCAGATTACAGATTTATAACATGTTATAGCACTATCTTGATGGTGGTTTCTGTGTTGCAATTATTTGACAACCGTTATAACATGTTATAACTCTGTAGTTGTCTGAACGTGGTATTAAGCTAGGTTTCTTCAAATCAGTTGGTGTCGAAGTTGAGCCATTTCAATGCGAATTTCAGACGGACAACCCTATGGTGTCTTTTTTGTGCAACGCGATGTCTCAAATGGTTAGAGGCATTATGGAAAGGTTCATTAATATTGATCATCTGAACAATATTGCACAGGTAAATGCACATTTGATCAATAAGATCGCAAAAAGCAACGACTGGACGTTTTTTGGCACAGGTTATTGGTCG